ACTGACAAAAATTTTTTTCCTGACATTTCCCTGACTTTACTGACAAAATATTTTTTTCCCTGACATTTCCCTGACTTTACTGACTTTACTTACATGTGGCCACCCTGAATTGAAAATATTGAAAATAATTGAATTTTAAAAATATAATGAAAAAATTCTAAGAATTGCTTTTATGAAAAATATTTTAATATAATTTTCATTAATTTTTATTTTTAAATTTACACTTAAAAAATTTTTTTTATGAAAAATTTGAGAATTCAATTATTTTCAAAAATTATAATAAAATACTTTAAAAAAATCAATAATTTGTAATTAAATTTTTCAAAATTCCAATTATTTAAAATCTTAATTAAATTTTTCAAAATTTCAGTTATTCAAAATCTTTTTAATTGTATATTTCAAAAATTCAATTAGAAAAATTATACAAAAATAATTTTTGAAGGATTTGTCTATAGTTATTTTCCACACTTTAAAAATCGAAATAATAAGTTGCACATTATAATAAAAATGAAATATTTTGTTGCAATATTTAGAGAAAAAGCCGAAAAAGTCGCAATTTTTGTAAATAAGTAAAAAAAAAAAGTCGCTTTTTTTAAATAATTGAAAAAACTCAAAAGTCATAATATCCGAAACCTAAAAATAGGAAGTTGATAACAATAAAATATATATATATATATATATATATTTCACTTCGTTCGTCAATTTAATTCTAAACCAAGACTAAAATCATCAAAAATTCATAAATTTTATTTCACCAAAAATTTTATGAATATTAAACAATTTTCTTTAGTCCATATAACTTCTAATAATTTAAATTTCATTTAAAAAAATATAATGAGCAAAGGTATAAATTAAATTTTCTCAAAGACCGTATACTTAAGCTTTCCTTTTTTTTAAAGAAAATAAAAAGGTATTTACAAAAGTAAAGGAAAGTATAAAAGCAACCTTTTGCATTAAGATACTTTACAAATGCAAGAAAAATTGTACAAACGACTTGAGTGAAATAAACGCGACTTATTCACAGTGAAAGAAGATAAAATTTTCTCCCATTTCTTCCGTCTTCAATAAAATATCTCTAGAGAATAATAATTTTAAACCAATTTATGAGAATTTTCATTTCAAATTATTCTTCGGGGAAAAAATAATAATTTCTATATAAAAAGTAGCATTTCTTTTTTTCATCAAGATTATTATCATTTTAAATTATCTACTACATCAAATAGATTGAAAACATTTTTTGCCAAGGGGGAAAAAATATACACGAATCATAGACGTAATACATGTGTATGTATTTTTTTTTAACAGAAGGGGAAAAAAATTGATTTTGTCCTCCTTTGCTCTTCTCTTGATCGTGCCTAAGTTCACGTGTGAGATGATCATTAACATCAGAGTATATATATGTATATAAAATTGTAGACTACAGTAGTTATGCATTCTCCTGTGGAAAGCGAGCTTTCTGACGAAGTCAATTAAGCTCTTTTGTGTGACAAGAGAAGCACAGCCAGAAGTGGTGATAAAGGCAGTAGGTACAATCTTTCTACGTGGGTTGCACTAAGGAACTACAATACTAGGAGTGAAGCGTGCCAGTGAAATAATTTTTCAAATCTATCGTTTGCGGATTGTAATTTTCGTACGAGAATTATCCTCTTTCTTTTATTGGGAATTACATTAAATATAGAGAACACGATTTATCAAATTCAAAAATTCTCTACTCCATTAATTAAGAGTGATTTATTGAAGGAAGCTTCTCACTAATATAAGTTTACAACTCTTACTTAATGTAGATAAATAAACAGAGATATAAGCTATTTTCTCAGAGTCGTAAACCTACCTATTTGTGTAATTAATTTTTACTACTATTTAACTTTTACCGTCGTTTTTTTATCATCATCATATAATTAATATTGTGGTGTAGATAATTTTACTAATTTTTTATTGTCTTCTTATTTTTCGAAAATCAATTATACACTCGCAAAAGAAATTCATTTTTCAATCAATTTTTATTAGAAAATTCTATGAGAATTAAATTATTTAAACACAAAAATAAATAATTTATCGAATAATTTTATCAATTAAATTGAATTAGTTTATCAACAAATAATTAAATAATTGACTTCTTTCGACAAATTCTAATAAAATTTTTTGAAGAATTTAATTAAAATTGTATTAAAAATATAATTGAAATTCTTGGATGAGTATTATTATTTATGAAAATAATGAAATTGTTGCGAAGAAATTTATAAAAATTTGCAAATAATTAAATTCCCGTGAAATTTTTGTTATTTATGAATATAATTAATTATTCAAAATTCTTTTGACTAATTTCAATAAAAATTTTAAGAATAATTTCATTTTTCGAGAAATCAGATTAAAATTGTAATATAGAAATAATTGAATCTCTGTAAAAAATTTGATTAAATTAAGAAAACTTTTTGAAAATAATTGAAATTTTGAAAAGAATTTTATTAAAATTTTTGAAAATAATTGAATTTTGGAGAAAAATTTTATTATTTATTAAGATAATTGAAATTTTGACGAGAATTTTCAAACTTTAGATCATAATTGAATTCTTTAGACGAAATTTAATAATATTTCTTTTTAAATAATTAAATTCTTTTGTAAAATTTTACTAAAATAGTAGATATATTGAAAATAATTTAATTTTGATAAGTTACTGAAGTTAATTAAATTTCGGGGAAAAATTTTATTAACATTATTTTGAAAAAAATTGATAATTGTTAAAAAGAATTTCATTAAAATTTTTGAAAATAATTTAATTCTTTAGAGAAATTTAATTAAAAATGTATTGACAATAATTACTTAAATTCTAATAAATAAAATTACAGGAAGGCTTTTTAAAATAATTGAATTTCTTTGACGAATTTTAAGAATATTTTTAAGAATAATTTCATTTTTCGAGAAATTATAGATTAAAATTGTATTAAAAAAAAAATTGAAATTCTGCGATGAGTTCTATTATTTTTGATAATAATTGAATGTCTAAAAAATGTTATTATTTATGAAAATAATTTAACTACTGCGAAGAAATTTATAAAAAATTTGTAAATAATTGAATTCCTGTGTAAAATAGTAGGTATAATAGATATTGAAAATCATTGAATTGCGGAAAACTTTTGAAAATAATTGAAATTTTGCAAAGAATTTTATTTAAATTATTAGAAATAATTAAAATTTTGCTATTTATAAAGAAAATTGAATTCTTGTCGAGATATTCGTTAAAATTCTTGAAAATAATTGAATTTCAACGAAGAATTTTATTACTTTTGAAAATAATTGAATTTTGCAAAGAATTTTATTAAGATTCCTAAAATTCATTAAATTTCAGTGAAGGATTTTGTTACTTATGAAGATAATTGCGTTAAAACTTTTGAAATAATTAAATAATATTAAAAAATTCATTCTTGACAAAAATAGAAAAAAAATTTAAGGTTTTGTATTAAAATTCGTGGTAATTTCATAGTTTTTAAGGCAATAAATACAATTTTGTTAAAAACTTTCACAATCGAAAATTAATATTATAATAAATTTATGAAAAAACTCACTTTTTTTGGAGAAACCATTTTGAATCTGTTGAAGATGCTGATGTTGATCCTGGTGATCTTGAAGAGACACACACACACAGACACTGCACTAGAAGAACACAAAATATTGTTTTGAAAAAAAATTAGACAGTTTAAATAATAAACAAAATTATTTTCTACAAACAATAATGAAAAATAAGTTCTAAATAAATAATAAGTTAATTAAGTAAATTGATAACAAACTAAATTAATAAATAATAAGCGAAATACATAAGTAAATAATTTAAATTAAATAAATAAATAATAAACAATATAAACTTTTTTATTAAAATAAAATAGACGCAAATGGAAGATCACATTTCCAGAATACTAATGACACAAGCACTGATTTTAAAAACACAAACTTTAAAAATAAAAAAAAAAATTACACGCAATATTGAACGAGTTTTTAAATTATAAAATCTCACGAGGTTGACATGCGCAAAGCAAATGAAGAACTGAATTTATGGGCGCAAATAAATTTATGCGTAACCTTAATTCCAAAGGAAACAAAGAGACAAGGACGGACTGTTTCGGAAAATGCAGATAAGAAACTCAAACTTGAGAGGTTACTAGACTGAGACTGAAAACAATAACAACATAAACCCTGCTTCAAATTTGTCCTTCAAAGTGATATTATAAACGATGCAATATATAGATTACAATATTGCCTGAAGGCGAGTTGAAGGTACAAGTTTTAAGGGTAGAAGAATAAAATTTTCGAAAATCAATAATAAAAGAGGAAAATTTAATCTCTCTTCAATTCAAAAAATTTTGACTCACATATTTCAAACAAATCATTCGTTTATTATAAGGAAGAAATTTTATTCTTATTATTTTGAATTATTTTTCATTTCCATTTATTTATTTATTATTATTATTATTCATTATTATTTTAATTAAATTATTAATCACTTTTTTCAAATCACATAACTTCGAGTTAAATATTTCAAACTAATTAATTATTATAATAAAAAATTTTTATTTGATTCACACAATTTAATAAAATTATTATTAAAATTAAACAATTAATTTATTATAATACATAATAATTGTAATAACAATAATAATATTTGTAATAATAATTATTATTATATTTTTCATTAATAAATTATTTTTTATTTGTCGCTCATAAATTTTTTCAACGAATTTTGACGTCTTATAATCTTTATATTATGGTATGTTGAGACTTTTTTCTAATTTTTAAATGACGCAGAACATTAAAAATAACTGTTTATCAAAAATTTATAAAATAATTATTAAAAAATAATTTTTTGAAAATTTTCTAATTCTAAACGGAAGTATATTTCATTCCCTTTGTATTCGTGCTTGTTTCATTTAAAAATGTTGCGAAAAATAAACAAAATAATTTTGAAAAAAATAAATAACATTTCAACTAATAAAATAAATAATTTTTAGATGCAAAAATTTCACGGGAGCCAAAAGAATTGGAGCACCCGGAAATCCAGCTCCCGTTCGTATGCCACACGCTCATCCAGAAACATTTCGTCAATTCGTTCATTATATCTACACGGGAAAGGTAATTTCAATGTTCTTCTTCATGTTTTATAACAATTAAAGATGACCGAGTGATAAAATCATTTACAATTCAATTACTGTTTACAAGAATTTTTATATAAAATTCTTCTTTAAATCGATTATCGATTATTTTTAATAATTTTCGAAAAAGTTCTTTGACAATTTTCAAATCCATTTGTTTACAATATTCAATTTTACGGAATTTTGATTATTCGTAAATTCTTCAATTAAATAAATATTAGAAAATAAAAACATAAAATAATATTAAAAAAATTCAATTAAAAATTTTCAAAAAAATTAATTTCAAAATTCAATTATTTTTAAAAATTCACGCTATATTGCTTTTAATATTCAATTATTATCCAAAATTTTAACTGAAATTCATTTTTAAATCAAATTTTATTAGAAAATTCTACGGGAATTCAACTATTTAAATACAAAAATAAATAATTTATCATGAATAATTGAATTTTTCATAAGATTCAATTCCCATCAAGAATCATTATCAATATATATTTTCAAATAATTGAATTCTATCAACGAATTTTAATACAATTTTTAAGAATAATTATATTTTTCAAGAAATTTGATTAAAATTGTATTCAAAATAATTGAAATTCTGCAATGAATTTTATTATTTGTGAAAATAATTGAATTGAAATTTTATTACTTTTGAACAATATTTCATTTTTGCGAAGAATATTATTATTCTTGACAATAATTGAATTTTTGCAATAATTTGTAACTTTTACAAAATTGAATTTTTTTCCAGGTTTTTTTAACTAAACATCTTCTATAAATCCATTATTTTTAGAATTTTTTGAAAAAGTTCTTTAAGAATTTTAAAATTTATTTGTTTACAATTCAATTTTATAAAATTTAAACTATTCGTAAATTCTCCAATTAAATAAATATTAGAAAAATAAAAACTTTAAATAATTTCAAAAAAAATCCGCAAATAAAGTTTCCCAAAAAAAAATTAATTCCACAGAATTGTTAGTTAAAAAAATGAAAAATTTAAATTTTCAAAGATTTTAATCTAAAACCTTTTCAAAATTTAATTATTTCTAAAAATTTACGTTCTAATGCTTTTTAGAATTCAATTATAATCTAAAATTTTAACTAAATTTTAATTTTTAAATCAATGTTTATGAGAAAATTCTACTATAATTCAATCAAAAATAACAATTTATTGAATAATTGCATGTTTCTTAAAATTGAATTCTCATAAAGAATTTCATCAATAAATTTTTAAATATCTGAATTTTTTTGACAAATTTTAATAAAATTTTAAAGAATTTTTTCGAGGAATTCGATTAAAATTGTGTTAAAAATAATTGAAATTCTGCATATGAGTTTTATTATTTGTGAAAGTAATTGAATCCCTAAGAAGAATTTTATTATTTACGAAAATAATTGAATCATCGTAAAAATTCTATAATTTTTGAAAATAATTGAATGATTACGAAGAAATTTATAACAAAAATTTGTAAATAATGAAATTCCTGTAAAATTTTTATTATTTTTTAAAAATAATTAAAGTTTGTGTGGAATTTTATTAATTCTTTTTTTAAATAATTGAATTCTTTTGGAAAATTTTATGAAAATATTAGATATTGAAAATCATTGAATTGAGGAAATTATTTAAAAATAATTGAATTTCGGAGAAGAATTTAATTATTTTTAAAGATAATTGAAATTTTGACGAAAATTTAAAAAATGTTTTAACATAATTGAATTTCTGCGAAGAATTTTATTACTTTTGAAAATATAATTGAATTTCTACAATCATTTGTAATTTCTCTATATTTATCCAAATTATATCGTACAATTTACGAACTTTTCATCCTTTTTGAATCAAATTACGGAATTTACGGCCTTTTTAAAAAAAAACAGACTTTTACGGACTTCACGCAAAGTTACGGACTTTTACGGGATTTACGGACCTAGTTCGAGCCCTGAATAAAGAAAAAATTTTCTAAATCGTTGATAACAAATTTTGCAAACTTTACTAAAATGTATAATCAACAAAATTTGTTCAAAGATTTATCATTTTTTATTCGCCTCATTTTTTTTTTTTTTTTTTTTTGCCTTCGTTGCCGTTGTTTTTGCAGATAATGCTTCAAGACAGTGGAATTTTTGAAATGCTCGGACTTGCACAGGAATTAGGCGTCGAGGAACTTTGGAGAAGCTGCGAAGAACACGTGTCGGCGACACTCAGTCCCGGAAATGCTTGCGCCCTTCTCACTGCAGCTCTTGATGCTCAAGAGCGAGTTCTTGGTACGTAAAAAGCGAGACTTTTTAATTAAAAGTATTTTCTAATTAAATAAATTCCTTTGTCAGCAATTTTTTTCGCCTTCAACCAAACGCAAAATGTACACATGTCAAAAAAAAAATTTTTTTTTTAACATACATTTAGCTGTAAACTAAATAACATCCGCAAAAGAAATGCATGAACTGAAATTGAAAAAAGAAAAATTTCCCAGATGATTTTTTTGAAATCAAGAATATATTTTACTCTGCAGTCATAATTTTGACGGAACAAATATTTTCTCCACAAAATATTTTCCAAAAAAATCAAAATGAGAGTAAAAGAAATATTAGGAAAAATATTAATTAAATTGTAAATGTATTAAAATAAGAACAGAGTTGCCACAAAAATTTAATTCTGATTTCCAGACAAAATTTTGACTTTTTCCCTGACACTGAAGAATATTCTCATGATTCACTCCAAAAATTATTAGATACCCAAAAAAATGTTCTAGAACATTTATTATTTTTCCATGGGAATTAAGATATTCAGAAATTTGAAAATCAAACCTTTTTGAAATTCAACAACTTATAATAATTAATAAAAATTAAAGAGGACCGAGTAACAATAAAATATTATAAGAATATTTTTAAACTGTAACTTCTTCAAAATTATTTACATCATTTCAATTTAATTACTATTATTATCTAAACAATTTTTAACTAAACTTTTTTTTCTATAAATCAATTCTTTTTAATAATTTTTGAAAAAGTTCTTTGAGAGTTTCCTTCACGAATTTTATTAAAATTTTTAAAAATAATTACAATTTTTCCAGAAATTTGATTAAAATTGTATTAAAAATGATTGAAATCCTATGAAGAGAATTTTTTCTATTTACGAAAATAATTGAATTCTTGCAAAGAATTTAATTAATTTTTATTATAAATAATTGAACCCCTGTGAAAAATGTTATAATTTGCAAAATTAATTTAATTTTTTAGAAGAATTTTATTAAAATTTTTAAAAATAATTAAATTCTTTGGAAGAATTCTATTAAAATTGTTCTAAAAATAATTGAATTTTTATAAAAAAAAATTATAAAAAGGTTTGAAAATAATATTGAACTTCTTTTAGAATTATATCAATTATAAAAATCATTGAATTTCCGAAATTTTTTTAGACGAATTTAATTAAAATTGTTTTCAAAATTTAATTAATCCTAAAAATTATGCTGTAATTGTTTTAATATTCAATTATTATCTAAAATTTTAACAAAAATTCATTTTTAAATCAATTTTTTTAGAAAATTTTACGAGAATTAAATTCTTTAAAGACAAAAATAAATAATTTATTAAATAATTGCATGTTTCTTAAAATTCAATACCCTGAAAGAGTTTAACAAAATTTTTGAAAATAATTGAATTGTTTTGACGAATTGTATAAAAATTTTTAAAAATAATTACAATTTTTCCAGAATTATGATTAAAATTCTATTAAAAATAATTGACCTTAATTAAAAATTAAGGTCCTTGAAAAAAATACCGAAATTTAAAATAATTGAAATTCTACGAAGAATTTTTTTTATTTATGAAAATAATTGAATTCCTGCAACAAATTTTATTAATTATTATTTTAAAATTTCACTGTAAAAAATTTAGGGAGTTAACGGACTCGGGAGTTAAATTTTTCGAGTTAAAAATCAACTCCAAAAGAGAGTTAATTTCTAACTCCCTTCATTCAACACCCGCGCGAGTTATTTTTTCCTTGGGGAGTTTGCATTTGGGTGTGAAGTTTTAACTCTCTTTATTTAACTCCCCTGGCATTAACTCCCCAATGGGTGCGACTTTTATAGACTCCCCTGGGGAGTTAAAATTTAACTCCTTTTTTTTACAGTGTTTAAATAATTGAATTCCTGTGAAAAGTTTTATTATTTTTAAAAAATAATTTAATTCTTGAGAAGGATTTTATTAAAATTTTTGAAAATAATTGAATTCTTTCGAAAAATTAAATTAAAATTGTTCTATAAATAATTGAATTTTCATAAAAAAAATTTATAAAAAAGTTTGAAAATAATTGTGTTTCTAAAATTTTTTAAAGACAAATTTAATTAAAATAATTGTTTTCAAAATTCAATTGTTTCTAAAAATTTATGCTGTAATGTTTTTAATATTCAATTATTATCTAAAATTTTAACAGAAATTCATTATTAAATCAATTTTTATTAGAAAATTGTAAGAGAATTCAATTATTTAAGTACAAAAATAAATAATTTATTGAACAGACACTTTTATTATTTATGAAAATAATTGAACTACCGTGAAGAAATTTATAAAAAATTTACAAATAATACACTGTAAAAAATTTAGGGAGTTAACGGACTCGGGAGTTGGGAGTGAAATTTTTCGAGTTAAAAATCAACTCCAAAAGAGAGTTAATTTCTAACTCCCTTCATTCAACACCCGCGCGAGTTATTTTTTCCATGGGGAGTTAGCATTTGGGTGTTAAATTTTAACTCTCTTTATTTAACTCCCCTGGCATTAACTCCCCAATGGGTGCGATTTTTATAGACCCCCCTGGGGAGTTAAAATTTAACTCCCTTTTTTTACAGTGTAATTGAATTCCTGCCGAATTTTTAATTTATAAAAATAATTAAATGTTTGTGTAATTTTATTAAATTTTTTTTAAATAATTGAATTCTTTCGAAGAATTTCAATAACATTTTTAAGAAAAATTGTATTTGTCCAAGGAATTGATTTAAATTTTATTGAAAATAATTGAAATCTTTCGATTATTTTTATAATTTATAAAAATAATTGAATTCTTGCAACGAATTTTATTAAAATTTTTTAAAATAATTGAATTCCTGAGAAGAATGTTATTATTTATAAAAATTACATTTTTGAACATAATTGAATTTCTGCGAAGAATTTTATTACTTTTGAAAATAATTGAATTTCTGAGAAGAATTTTATTACTTTTGAAAATAATTGAATTTCTGAGAAGAATTTTATTACTTTTGAAAATAATTCAATTTACAAAGAAAAAAAAACACCAAAATTCAGAATTTTCTTATGAATTCCAAAAATTTAATTATTTCCAGTACTTTTAATAAAAAATCCCTGACTTTTTCCTGAATTCTCTCTGACCTGTCCCTGTGGCAACCCTGAAGAAGAAATATTAATGAATTTATTATTCAGAGAAATAAGCAATTACAGAAATTACACTCGATCTAAAAACCAAATGCAAAAGAAAAAAAAAAATGAAACTTGGAAGTTGAAAACTAATGTAATTTATCCTAATGGTAAAGCATCCATTACGATCAGAGAGGCACTTGTAAAAGAGCAATTTTTCTTTTTTGAAAATACTCTACGAGACATGAGAATGAAAACGACGAGAGAAAGAAGCTTCGGATAGAACAATTTTGTGATCGATGATTGAATATTGTTGAAGGAGAAGAGGAGAAAAAAAATGAAAATAAAAGAAGAAGTAAAGTGCAAAAACCGATATGCTAGGTGACAGCAAAAAAGGAAATTGGTAGGAGAATAAAGGGTGTCCTATAAAAAGTGACATTCCCAAAGCGCCATCAATCTTCATTATCTTAATTTCGGTGCACAATACACACATCTATATATAGATAAATATATATATATAGTATATGACCACAAATATGTGTTGGTGTTATATCCCTAGATATCGGAGGGAAGTTGGAACCCATTGTGTTTGTTATTGCCCTGCGGGCTCAGAATTTTCCGTTTATCGTTCGGAAGAAAATTGCTATGGAAGGTAAAATGAAACGAATGGAAAAATCATTGGTTGTGGTCTCGACAATTATAGAGGCAGACATTCATTTTTTATATTGTTCCGCACTCAGTTCTACTAATTCCATTTTTGTTCTGATGTGAAAAATTCAAGTTGATTTGCGCAAGGTTCATTTTCCATTTTTTTCCAAACAGACAAAAATTCCTATATTTTTTTGTTTGTTAATTAATCTAATTTAATTCAGTCTTCAAAAGTGTATTGGAAGAATTCTGTAGGATATATTTTGACTAATTCCATGAATTCTTCGATTTCCTTCAAGTAAAAATTGTGTTTTCTTCCATTTTCTTTCACACCGAATAATTAAATCTCGTGATGTAAGGCAAAATAATTATTATTCCTAAAAGAGAATAAAAGAAAACACAAATTTTAGACGGAAGAAATAAACATTTTTTTTTTAAATTAGTGAATTTGATTAATAATAATAAAATAATTTTAATTTTAAATAAATTACAGGGTTGCCACGCTTTTGCTCATTTCAAATTCCCTGACTTTTCCAGGTTAAAAAACGGAATTTTTCCAGGATTTTAAAACTACATTTATATTTTGCATTTATATTTATCTTTTTTAAATAAATATTATAATCATTATAATTTTTTCATAGGAATTAAAATTCTTCAAAAGATTCAAATTCAAACCTTTTTTTTAAATTAAACAACTTATAAAAAATTGTTATAAAACATGAAAAACTCCGATTAAACCGATAAAACTCCGAGTCTTCGACTCGGTGCAATCGATTTCTTTATGTTTTATAATAATTAAAAATGGCCCAGTGATAAAAAAAATTATTGTATATTATAAGAATATTGTTACTGTAACTTATTCAAAATTACTTTCATCACTTGAATTTAATTATTGTTTTCCAGAATTTTTAAATAAAATTCTTCTTTAATTTAATTATTTTTAATAATTTTTGAAAAATTTCTTTGAAAATTTTCAAATCCTTTTGTTTACAATTATTTAATTTTACGAAATTTCATCGATTATTCGGAAATTCTTCAAACAAATATATATTAGAAAATAAAAACTTTAAATAACTTTAAAAAAAATTCAATTAAACTTTTTCAAAAAATATTCAATTATTATTATCTAAAATTTTAACTGAAATTCATATTTAAATCAATTTTTATTCGAAAATTGTACGAAAATTCAATTATTATATTTATAATACAAAAATATAATTTATTGATGAATTTAATGTTTCTTAAAATTGAACTCTCATTTAAAGAATTTTTTTAACAATAATTTTTAAATAGGTAGGTAATTAAAATTCTATTGAAGAATTTCAATAAAATTTTTAAGAATAATTTCATCTTTCGAGAAATTAAATTAAAACCTTTTTAAAAATAATTGAATCTCTGTAAAAAATTTGATTGAATTGAGAAAAGTTTTTGAAAATAATTGTAATTTTGACAAGAAATTTATTAAAATTTTTGAAAATAATTGAATTTTGAAGAAAAGTTTTATTATTTGTAAAGATAATAATTGAAATGTTGAGGATAAACTTTTGCTATAATGCTTTTAATATTTTCAATTATATATATAAAATTTTAACTGAAATTCATTTTTAAATCAATTTTTATTAGAAAATTCTACTAGAATTCAATTATTTAAATACAAAAATAAATAATTGATTGAATGTTTCTTAAAATTTAATTCTTGTTAAGAATTTTATCACCAAATTTTTAAATAATTGACTCCTTTTGACGAATTTTAATACATTTTTTAAAAATAATTACATATTTTGAGGAATTTTGATAATAATTGAAATTCTTCGATGAGTCTTATTATTTATGAAAATAATTGAATTTCTAATAAGAATTTTACTATTTGTAAGAATAAATCAATTTTTGCCTGGAATTTTATTAAAAATTTTATAAAAAAAGGAATTCTTTTGAAAATTTTTTAAAATTAATACAAATTTGGCCTAGAATTTTATTAACATTTTGGAAAATAATTGAATTTTGAAGAAAAGTTTTATTATTTATAAAGATATTTGAAATTTTGACGATAATTTTTTTAAACTTTTGAACATAATTGAATTTCTGCGAAGAATTTTATTACTTTTGAAAATAATTGAATTCTTTTGTAAAATTTTATTGAAATAGTAGATATTGAAAATAATTGAATTTTAATAAATTATTGAAATTAATTAAATTTCTAGGAAGAGTTTTATTAAAATTATTTTGAAAAAAATAGAATTGTTAAAAAGAATTTCATTAAAATTTTTTAAAATAATTCAATAATTCTTTCAAGAAATTGAAAATAATTGAATTTCTTTGATGAATTTTAATAAAATTTTTTAAAATAATTACATTTTTCGAGGAATTCTATTAAGATTGTATTAAAAATAATTGAAATGCTGCAATGAGTTTTAATATTTATGAAAATAAATGAAAATCTATAAAGTTTTATTATTATTTTTTATTTATTATTTATGAAAATAATTGAATATCTGTAAAAAATTTGATTATTTATAAAAATAATTGAATTATTGCGAAGAAATTTATGAAGAATTAGTAAATAATAGAATTCCTTGTGAAATTTTTATTATTTAATTAATTCATTCAAAATTGAAATTTTACAAAATTGCAAATTAAAACCTTTTAAAGTTTATCTATTTATGAAAATTATAAACGAAATTGTTTTAAATTTAAATTAATTTTGAAATATTTAAGAAAAATTAGATTTCAAGAATAAGCACAATAACTTTAGAAAACAATAATTTTCCAGGATTCCGATCAAAATTCCCTGATTTTTCCAGGTTTTTTCAATGTTTTTAAAATTCCCTGACATTTCCAGGTTTTGCAGATTGCGTGGCAACCCTGAATTAATTTTAAAAAAATAATAATATTCATAAAATAATATTTTTGATATTTTAATTGTATATTTTGTAATGTTGAAATTTCTTTTTATATTTCATAAAGTTTGTTTGATTTGAGTAAAACTTATCCCCATTGACTGTTTCTTGTAATTAACAGGAACTGTAATAAAGTAATTAAAAGTCGAGAAAGACTTTCTTAATTACTTTAGTTACAGCGAAAATAAAGATTAATGTTCATTTTCCTTACTTTTTTTAAATTTATCAAAATATTTTACTTATAACTAATCAAATATTTAATTTTTTAATCAATTTTTGCTAAATGTTAAATAAACAAAATAAATAAATAAAAGTACATGAAGAATTTACAATGCACTCTAAAAATAATAAATAAAATATCTTTCCAGACAAATTTTATAATAAAAATTATTTCAATTTACTGGAAAAAAATATATATTTTTAATGTAAATTGGATATTTTTTTAAATACATATAATATAGAAGTAATTTAGTAATAAATAATAATTCTGATAAAATAGGTACATTACCGACAAATTTGAAAAAGTTGGTAACTTTCCAGAATGGTGGCAGCACTTTCTGACGAAAAAATTCCTTTGTCTTTGTTCGATTTGTTGCTTCAACTCTTTAAATGTTTAATTACGAATGAAAAAATAACAGAAAGAAATACCGAATTAATTTTAAATATATTCTTTTCGAGTAGAAATCAATGTCACACTTTTAAAAACACTTTTCACATTCTGACAACGTGCCACCGGCTCACAGGGGAAATTGTCACTGGAGGGACAACAAAACTCGGAATTGATTTGCAAATTCAACTACATCTACTTATTGTCATTTTTAGAAAACATGCACAATTGATATTACTTATAACAGTGATGATACTTTCAACAAGCGGACTCTAATAATTTCAAAACTTTACTTTCATTATCTGTGAACTCTGCAAGAAAGTGATATACTAACCTCAACTTTTCGTCTCTTGCAATTTTCATATCAAACTTCAAAAAATTCTTATTTTACACTTTTATATCACGATATTACAAACTAGAACAACTTTTTCCGGAAATAACAAATCTAGACACTACTAGACACTGATGTTAAAAAGATTAAAATATAAAAAACCTATTTGTTGTCCCTCCACTCTTCCGACATCGACACCGGCGGCAGCCATACTGTCCATTGCTGCCAACACTGCAAAACTATACAATGTTGGCGACATTGCCAAAGCGGCAGCCATGCCACTGACCTTGCGCATGCGTCATATTTACAAGCTTTCCGGCGTCTGTTTACGATTGTCGTCGTACACGTTGTCTATAAACGAAAACGTAATTATTTTTCTAATATAAAACTATACGAAAATGTCGTATAAAGGTCCACAAAAAGTGCAAAAGGTGATGGTACAACCCATCAACCTTATATTCCGTTATTTACAAAATCGTTCGCGAGTTCAAGTTTGGTTGTACGAGAATGTTAACCTACGAATCGAGGGACACATCGTTGGTTTTGACGAATATATGAACCTGGTGTTGGACGATGCCGAGGAATATCATGTCAAGACGAAAAACAGAAAGACCCTGGGTCGTATTATGCTCAAAGGTGACAATATAACGCTTATTCAAAATACAAATCCAGGAGCAAACTAGACTAGTCAACATAACCTCAACACATCATTCCCTTGACAAACTACTTTTTTGAAAGAGAAACCAGATTTTTGGAGTTGGGACAACAGTGATATCTATTTTGTATCAATTTTCTACTTGAAAACTTGTATCTACCGACTATTTACTGTCGTCTTCAAGTCGAAGCTGTCAACATAACCTCAGCGACAACAATGAGTTATTCCTGAGGCTCCGATTTTCGCTTTGGATTGCTTTTGTCAACATCATCTTCAATTCGTTCTTCGATTACAGTGTCAATGGTTACCTCAAGTAAATTTGGAGTGGAAGTTTGTAAACATTGACTCTTAGCTTTGTTGATAATGATAAACAAGTGTTGGGATTTTTCAGAGAAAATTGTATTCCAAAAAGCAATCTGTACATTACTTTCGTAACTAATATTTTTCACTTCCAAATTTCAATTTAAATTTCATAAAATAGAAAATGTTTTGAAAAAATTAAATTGTTAAAGTTTACAGTATTTGTATTAGAAAGGAAAAAAAATAATCAAAGTTATTTTTTTGTTTACAAAATATGTAAAAACAAATCGCTCGTAATTTAATTAAAAAAAAGTGTAAAATTCATATTTTGTGTTATTATTTTGTCTATTTTTAATTATATTGCAAAATTCCCCATTAGTTTTAATATGGTATTTAAATGTTAAGGAGACTGTCAGTTAAGTATTTTTCTATTTATTTTCTAATTTTGCTAAAGTATTAAAAAGAAAAGGATTAAAATGAAAATATTTACTTTTCAGGAGGCAAAGGAGCGTGTTCGTCATTTATCGAGAGATGTTTCGCATTCATAGGGGAAAATGCAGTGGACACTGTGAAAACTCCGGCTTTTTGCAATCTACCGAAAGACGCTTTGGTGAAATTGATTTCTTCCGATTATCTTGGTCTTGAGGAGGAAGATGTCTGGAGAGCCGTTTTAAATTGGGCAAAATACCAGGTAATTTATATTGACGAATTATTATTTTGTAATAAAAAAGCCTAAATATATTTTTACGCTATTTCATTACAAAATAATTCAGAAACCGGTTTTAACAAAAACCAAATATTGACTAAATAATGTTCCTAAAGTTTTTAAGGTTCTAATTAATGTTATCTTCTATTTAAATATTTTCTAAAATCACTTTAGTAACAATCAGTCTTCATACTAATCTGGTAAAACTTATTTACTAATTTTAATGATTTGCTACTATTTGGATAATTTTTTTTAGATTTACTAATAAAAGCAACTTTTTTTTAGAATTTTCTTTTTTCTTTTTAGAATTTACACTATTTAAATTCTCCATTCATTGAATCAAAAAAATTATTCTAAAAAAATTTAATAAAATAATTTGAAAAGATTCAATTATTTTCAACAATTTTCAACAATTTTTTCGCAAGAATTCAGTTATTGTCACAAATAATAGAATTTTTCGCAGGAAGTCAATTATTTTCACAAATAGAATTTTCAGAGGATTTCAATTATTTTTAATACAATTTTTAATGAAATCTCGCAAAATGCAATTCTTCTTAAAATTTTGTTTTAAATTCTTGGCAAACTTTCAACTATTTTTAAAAATTTTCCAAAAGAATTCAATTATTTAAAAAAAAATTTAATAAAATTACGCAAACATTTAATTATTTTTAGAAATAATAAAAATTTCACAGGACTTTAATTATTTTCAAATTTTTCATAAATTTCTTCGCAGTAGTTCAATTATTTTCATAAATAATACATTTTTTACAGGGATTCAATTATTTTGATAAATAATAAAATTCTTTTTAGAAATTCAATTATTATCATAAATAATAAAAGTGGCTATTCAAAAAATACTTAACGCTATTTTTTGAAAATTTTATAATTCAATTATTCAATAAATTATTTATTTTCGTATTTAAATAATTGTATTCTCGAAGAATTTGCTGATTAAAATTGAATTAAAAACTAATTTCTGTTAAAATTTTAGATAATAATTGAATATTAAAAGCATTTCAGCATAAATTTTTAGAAATAATTGAATTTTGAAAACAATTTTAATTAAATTCGTCTAAAAAAATTTCAGAAATTCAATTATTTTCATAAATGATAAAATTCTTTAAAGGAATTCAATTATTTTCAAACCTTTTTATAAATTTTTTTATAAAAATTCAATTATTTTTAGTAGGGGAACATAGTCTAGGTCGGCCACCTTTTTGACTTTTGTTTATAACTTTTTTTTAAAAATGAATTTGGACAATTGAAGTATATGGTTGGAAAGTCCTGTTTAATAGGAACATTTTTTCTGTACAAAGTAAATTGACAGGTTTAAAAATGAAAAAGTTATAAAGATTTAAAAAAAAAAAATTTGTAGTCCAGGTTGGCCATTACAGTCAAGGTCGGCCATGTTTAAAATTCAAAGGGCATTAATCGTTAAAAAATAAAATAACATGTTTGGAGTTACGGAAAATTGATTCTTTATTGTTTACAGTTTGTAACTTAATGAAATAACAAAATAATAACAATAAACAATATAAAAAAATAAATATAAATAAAAAAAAGTTTTGCATTAAAATATTAATAAAATTAAATAAAAATATTAATAAGATGATCAATTATATTATGAGTTATACAGAATTGCAGTTTTTGCAAATGAAGTAGCTCGTCCTCATCTTTGCGCATTTTAAACACATAGTGGCCGACCTTGACAGTAAGTAACATTACCGAATTGTTGTAACCATAAAGAAATGCGTTTCGGGATTCGATTTTTTACTTTGTTTTCCTTTCAACCATGAGTCCCACAAATTTTCTGCATACTTGCCTTGACGATTCAATTTGTTTTTTATCTTTTATTAATGGTTTTTCACATTATGCACAAAACTTTTTTTCAGCTTTTTTTGTACCGACGTCACAGAAAACACAATTTTTGATTTTCCGAAAATGTAATTGAACAAAAAGTTAGGTTTCACTAAGACAAGCCTCGACAAATATTCGCGTAGGTGGCGCTAGTGAACTTGACAAAAAAACGCGAGTGGCCTACCTAGACAGTAGACCAACCTTGACTACATTCCCCTACAATTTTAATTGAATTCTTCGAAAGTATTTAGGAATTATTTTTAAAAATTTTAATAAAATTCTTCTCAAGAATTAAATTATTTTTGCAAATAATAAAATTTTTCACAGAAATTCATTTATTTAAAATAAAAATTAATAAAATTCGTTGCAAGAATTCAATTATTTCCATAAATAAAAATTCTCCGTAGAATTTCAATTATTTTTAATACAATTTTAATCAAATTTCTGGAAAAATTGTAATTATTCTTTAAAATTTTAATAAAATTCGTCAAAAGAATTCAATTAATTTTATAACTTTTAATAAAAAATTATACAAAAAAGATTAAATTATTTCTAAAGATAATGACATTTTTCACAGAATTTTAATTATTCAAAAGAATTCTTATAAAATTCGTTGCAATAAATCAATTATTCTTATAAATCAAAAAATTCTTCGCAGGATTTCATTCCTCGATAGATGCAATTATTCTTAAAATCATAAATTCTTTGATAAAAAAGAAATTAACAAAATTCTTCGAAAGAATTTAATTATTTTCAAAAATTTTGATAAGATTCTGTATGAGTATTCAATTTTATAAAATAATCAATTATTCTATCAATTATTTATTTTTCTTTTTAAATATTTGAATTTTCCTTTCAGTTTCTAGAATAAAAATTGAATTAAAAATTAATTTCAGTTAAAAGTTTAGATAATTATTGAATATTTGAAGTGTTATAATGAATTGTATAAGTAATTAAATTCCAAAAGATTTTTAAACTTAAATATTTGAAAATTCTAATTGTTGTAAAACTATATATAATCTAAAAATGTATAAATTTACCATTTTTCTAAGAAATTATTAAAATATTGAATAATATTATTTAAAAATTGCAAAAAAATTGAATTTTGGAAGAATTGCAATTGTATTTTGTAGAAATTAAATTTAATAGGTAATTAAAAATATTTAATAAAAATTATTTAAGTTTTGAATAATTTAATTTGAAAAATATGAAAAAATTAGTCTTTCGAAGAATTGAAATTGAATTTTTTTAGATAGGTAGTTAAATTTTTGTAACTGATTTTAAAAAAATTAATTTTTCCGAAATTCGAAATTTTGTACAAATTTAACTGAAATAAATTTTATATTTTAAAGAATTTTATTTTTTCACTTTTATAAATTGTTTTTAAATATAATCATATTGTTGAAGAATTCTAAATAAAAATTTGGAAAACAATTGAATTTTAGAAAAATTTAGAATTGGAAATTGTTACCAGAATAAAAAAAGTAAATAGTCTTTATGGAAATCAAGAAATAGTCAGGAAAATTCATAATCAATTTTTTTGTGAATCTTTAGTCGTCAAATTTAATTTTTCGAAAGCTACTTTTTTACTACTTTTTGTCAGTCTTTGAAACTACTTTTTGCTACTTTTTTAAATTACTTATCGAGTGCGAAGCTTGTAAAACAGAAAATAAAGTAAATTAAATATTGTTTAGTTACAATTTTTTCAATATTATCGTTGTTAATTTGAACGTTCGAAAATTTAGGAACTTACTAAATATATTTTTTGTCCATAAAAAAAAGAAAAATTTTTACAGAATTAAAAATAATTCTAGGCTGGAGTCACACAACCAACGCAACATTGGACTGAGGAAGAACGCGCCAGGGTCTGTCAACATTTAGCCGGAGTGATTGGTCACGTGCGTCTTTTGCTGATTGACAGTCAAGTTTTTGCAGAGGAAGTCGAGCCAACTGGAGCAGTTCCCATAGAAATGTCATTGGAGAGGTACGAATTTTTCAATGCCGATCGATCGAGCCACTCAAAATCCTCAAGGTACGACTTTGTGGGGTTCTTGCTTAATTTCTGAATCATCGAGTCTTGTGATTTTGTTTCAGATACAGGTATGCAGCCTTGCCGAATAAATATGCCGAGGTGTGCGCTGACAAAAGACTGCAACCTAGAGTTAGTCCATTTCTATTTCCTGGATCACAAATTCTCTCGAGGAATAAAATGCCTTTTCAACGTTTACTCAATCAGTGGTTTGGTGTTCCGAAACAAACCTGGCATTTAGTTTATCGGTACGTGGAAAGTTATTACAAGGAAGCTTAATTTTCAATCTTCATTTGTGCTCTTAATTATGAAACTTAATTTGTCCATTTAATTTTGAAAATTAATTTAGTAAAAAAATGTGTAAATTTTAATTCTTGATTTTTGAATTAATAACAAAGAGGAATGGAATGAAAAATTATTTTATGGGAATTTTTTTTCAGGGCTTCTAGACATGGTTATTCAGCTTCTGCTTTTCATCGTCATTGCGACGGAGTTTCTCCAACTTATGTGATAGCTGTGGTAAATATTGCCAAAAAAACGTAATAAATAAATATTCTGATTAAAAATTCTAGTAAAAAATTAGAATTTAAATAAAAAGAAAATATTTGATTTAAATAAAAGGTTATTTAATTGTAATCAAATAAATATTTACTTCAGTTCAACTATATTTGAACCAATAATTTCGGTTCTTGTGAACAACATTTGATTAGATTTAATCATTATTCGATAGAAATGAATATTTATTTGCTATTATTTTGAATTTAATTTTTCGTTGATTTTTATTATTTTATCTATTATTTTATCAGGGCTCTCGAGGTGAAATTTGCGGTGGATTCAGTGACGTTCCTTGGGGAAAAACAAATGCCAAAGGACACTATGTTCCATCTGAGAAAGCTTTTCTCTTCACATTAACGAATAATCAAGACGTTCCGCCAACGAAATTTGACATTGTCAAGAAACCGTTTGCAATATGCTATCATCCAGAGTAAGTTTTGACAAATTTTTATTTCTACATTCTAAAAAATTCAGAACATTCAAATCAATAAAATATTTTTTTAATATAAGAATTTTCTATAATTACCGAGTTGAGTAAGATTTGAAAAAGTAAATTCAACAATTTAAAATTTTATAAATAATTTTTTAACACCGAGCACAATATTATTACAATAAGTTTTTAATTCGTAACAAAAAAATATGTAAATTTCGTTATCCTAATTACATCAATTTTTATTATTTCGAATCTAAAATAATTTAATTCTTGCATAGAATTTTATTAGAATTTTTCAAAAGATTTGAATTCTTTCGAAGAATGTTTTTAAAACTTTTGAAAATACATTAAATTCTTTGAAAGAATTTAATTAAAGATATAATGAAATTAAATGAATTTTTCCAACATTATAAATGTTGCGAACTTGATTAAATATTTAATTATTCAAAATTCACTATTTAAAAGTTCGACGAGAATTTTAATTTCTTTTTTAATAAATGCAAAATATTCTTTTCTTAATAATGTGTGATTTTTCTTTTCAGTATTGGACCGATTTTTGGAGCTGGCGCTGATCTTCTGATTTCTAATAATTGCAACGCCAATATGGACAGTTACAGTAATTTACCCCACAGTTATGATGGGGAGCATGCATCGAATTCATTACTCATGGGAGATTATCATTTTACTGTGGTTGATTACGAAGTTTTCACTCCAAGCAACGCGTTTCTTAAATCACCCCATTAAGCTCGCTTTACTGAGTAAGATTATGTAAATATATATTTAAAAATGACTTCATATCCGAAAAAAAGAGACAAGCTCAACAAAAATAGACTTTCCAATAGAATACTCATAATTTATCTGTTATTTATGTTGCCTGTGAACATACGATTTAGATCTTAAAGTGATTATTACAATAAATAATTTTTTAAAGTGTAAAATCAATTTTTACTGATAATTCAAAGAGCACTTTCGGTATTTTTCAATTAATTTCCAAAAATTTAAATAATTATACAGGAGTCTTTTAATTACTGAACTAAATTTGGCAGTTTTTTTTAAATCAATATAATTCGCTTTTTGTTTTCTGTAAAATTACAGCAGTGACGTTTACAACGTTTATGATCAATGATCAATGATGTCTTGTTGTTGAAATCTAATTTTACTTAAATATTTCAAAATTAATTGAATTTTAAAAGAGTTGCATTTACAATTGTCATAAATAAATAAACTTCAAAAGTTTTCAATTAGAAATTTTAGAAAATTTCAATTTTGAATGAATAAATTAAATAATAAATATTTCATAGGAATTCTATATTATTTACAAATTCTTTATAAATTTCTTCTCAATTATTTTTATAAGACATAAATAATCAAATTTTGAACTAGGAATTCAATTATTTTCATAAATAATCAAATTCTATAAATTCAATTATTTATTTCCATAAATAATAAAACTCATCGCAGAATTTCAATTATTTTTAAAATAATGTTAATGGAATTTCTCGAAAAATGTAATTATTCCTAAAATTTTTATTAAAATTCATCAAAGAAATTCAATTATTTTAATAAGCCTTCCTATAATTTTATTTATTACAATTGAAGTATTATTGTCAATACATTTTTAATTAAATTTCTTAAAAGAATTAAATTATTTTCAAAACTTTTAATAAAATTCTTTTTAACAATTCAATTTTTTTTCAAAATAATTTTAATAAAATTCTTCGTAGAAATTTAATTAATTTCAATAACTTATCAAAATTCAATTATTTTTAACATCTACTATTTTAATAAAATTTCACAAAAGAATTCAATTATTTTAAAAAGAAATATATTATTAAAATTCATCTCAAGAATTCAATTATTTTCAAAAGTAATAAAATTCTTCGCAGAATTCCAATTATGATCAAAAGTTTAAAAAAATTCTTGTCAAAATTTCAATTATCTTTATAAATAATAAAATTCTTCTTCAAAATTCAATTATTTTCAAAAATTTCAATAAAATTCTTAGCAAAATTTCAATTATTTTCAAAAACTCTTTTCAATTCAATTAAATTTTTTACAGAGATTCAATTATTTTTAATACAATTTTAATCTAATTTCTCGTAAAATGAAATTATTCTTAAAAATATTCTAAAAAATTCGTCAAAAGAATTTTAATTATTTAAAAATTTGTTGATAAAATTCTTTACGAGAGTTCAATTTTAATAAACATTCAATTATTTAATAAATTATTTATTTTTGTATTTAAATAATTGAATTCTCGTAGAATTTTCTAATAAAAATTGATTTAAATGTGCATTTTAGTTAAAATTTTAGATAATAACTGAATATTAAACTCTAAATTTGAATTAGTAAAAATGGTTTCTAATTTGAATTAGTGACTGACTTTTTGCTTTTGAATTAGCAGATTTTACTTTCTTTTAAAGAGAAAGTATTATAGCGCGAATTTTTAAAAATAATTGAATTTTGAAAAGGTTTCAAATTATTATAATCTTTGAATGTTTGAATTTTTCATACTTTTAACTGAAAATTGTGTAGATTTAATTTTTTTAAAAAAGTTTATTGGAACTTTTTAGAAATTATTTGAAGTTTTAAAGTTTTTTTTTAAGAATATATATTTAATTAAAGTATTTCCGAATAATCAATGAAATTTCGTAAAATTAAATTTTGTAAACAAAAGGATTTGAAAGTGTTCAAAGAAATTTTTCAAAAATTATTAAAAATAATTAATTTAAAGAAGAATTTTAGTTGAAAATTTTAGAAAAATTCAATTCACAATTGAATTAAAATGAGAATAATTTTGATGAAGTCTTAAATTTATTATAAAACATGAAGAAATCGATCACTCCGAGTCTTCGACTCGGAGCAATCGATTTCTTCATGTTTTATAACAATTTTTTTTAAATTGTTTAATTTCAAAAAGGTTTGAATTTGAATGTTTTGAAAATCTTAATTCTTATGGTATAATAATGATTAAATATTTATTTAAAAAAGAAGCAATAGAACATTTTTTTGAGTAATAATTTTTAAACTGAATGAGAATATTTTTTAAGTCAATGAGAAGTAAGAATTTTGTTTAAGGGAAAGTCAGGGAAAAATTAAATTTTTGTTGGCAACAAATGTAGTTTTAAAAACATGGAAAAATTCCGTTTTGACCTGGAAAAGTCAGGGAATTTCAAATGAAGTGTGGCAGCCACGTAAAAAATTTTTTCGAATCTAAATTCAGAAAAATATGAGTAGAAAACAACTTCTTTTCTCACAAACGTTGTGAATTTTACCAAAGTGTAAAATTTTTATTTTAAGCGAACTTTCTTTATTTACTAAATATTCTTGATAATTTTTTTTTCTTTTGTCGAGTTTTATTATTATCTACTGTTTTATTTTCTTGAGCGTTAAAATATTTTATTTTATTGATCATTGAAAAAAATTTTTTTGTATTGTTGACAAGTGTGTGTGTGTGTGTGTGTGTGTGGCTCTAGAGGTAAAAATTTATGGGGTAGAAATTCAGTGGTTAACCATAGTCTTCCTGGAATAATGGTTTTAAAATGTTCGCATGAAGATTTAGTCTCGCACGCGAAAATAAACACATATTCCTTAAGGATGAGTTTGAGCACGACATCGACCTGGTGATTATTCAGTAGTAAAAGTGCTTGGGGGACGCGGTCGTGTTTAATAATGAGAAGTGAACCAACCAGTGGTAACCCCATGAACCGCGGTCACATAAACCACGGATTTATATGCGAGGAACATTGCGCGAGTTACGTTCGCTATGGCGCGAATTTACAAGATAAGAAGAGAGAGGGAAAGGGAGAAAGAAAAAGAGAGAAAAAATTATGGCTTAACAGGAACGAGGAAGATGAAAACGAAAAACATCGAGTAATTCTGATGCTTCTTTCAAATTCCCACGTCCGATTCGCTGGGATTGAGTATTTTTGTTTTAATTTCCAAAAATGCAAAACTCAGGCCTAAGATATTGAACTTTTTGGATTTTTTCTCTACTAAAAAAAATTTTTTTTCGAACTTATTTTCAAAAACTACGGCGTTCTTTTATACTTTTTTCCTAATATTGCAGCAAAATATGATTTTTTTGGTATAAAATGCCAACTTATTTCAATTCTTATAGAGTGAAAAATGGCTAGTCAAATCTTTCAAAATTATTTTTGCAAATAATTTTTTTTTAAATAATTAAATTTTTGATACATATAATTACAGGGTGTCTAACGGTCAGGGAAGTCAGGGAATTTTTTTGGTCAGGGAAAAGTCAGGGAATGGCAGAAAATTTCATTGAAAGTCAGGGAAATTTCTAAAAATTTATACAAAAATTAAAATTTTTTGTGAATAAAAAATTTTTTTAATTTAACAAAACTTAGAAGATTTTTATTATCGTTTTGTTTCTATCATTAGATATTAATTTATTGCTAAATATGTCAGTTACCATATTTTTGTCGCAAGAAAGCAAAAATAAAATTAGTAAAAAGTCATGGAAAAGTCAGGCAATTTTTTTCTCAATCCTTGTTAGACACCCTGAATTAAAAAGTATTTAAATAATTGAAATTTCGTAAAATTTTTATGAAAATAAGTGTTTTTTTAAATTGTTTCATTAAAATTAGATTTTGAAGAATTTTAATTGCAAATTTTGAAAATAACTGAATTCTCAAAATTTTTAATGAAATGTCTTCAGATTAAAATATTTATGGAAATTAATGAAGTAATCTTCATAAAATTGTATTAAAATAATTTGTAAAAAAGCAATTCTTAGAATTTTTTTAAAATTAATTTAAAATTTTTAAGAATTTTTCCAAATTTTTACTTAAAATTCTTCTAAAAATAAATTTTTAGATTGTCCAAAAATTTTTTCAGCAAGTTCAATTATTTTTGATAATTTTCAATTACAATGTTTTCGAAAAAGTGATTCTTATAGAATTTTTTTCTTATAATTTTGTTTTCAAAAATTTGTATGAAAATTCTTCAAATAAAAATCGGAAAATGTAAATTAATGAAAATTAGCTTCAAAAAATTATATTAAAATATTTTCTAAAAATAATTTTTTGAATTTTTTCGTTACAATTTTATAAAATTCAATTATTTTCAATAAGTCGAATTACAAATTTCCGAAAATTCAAAGACAAGAACTAATTAAATTAAATTATTTTTAAATATCTAATTTTCTAGATTTATTATTAAAATTTTGGACAAAATTCATTTTCAAAATTTCCTATTAAAATCCTTAAAAAAAATTCATCTGTTCTTTAAAATGTCAAAAAATTTTTTTAACAAATTGAATTATTTTTGATAAATTTAACAATTACAATGTTTTTTAAAAAGTAATTCTTACAGAATTTTTTTGGCACAATTTTGTTGTCAAAAATTGTTATAAAACATCTTCAAATAAAAATTGGAAAATGAGAAAAATGAAAATTAGCGTCAAAGAAATTATATTAAATTATTTTATAAAAATAATTCTTTGAATTTTTTCAGCAAAATTTTATATAAAATTCAATTATTTTCAATAAGTTGAATTACAAATGAAAATTAATGAAACTAAGCTTCAAAATATTATATTAAAATATTTTCTAAAAATAATTCTTTGAATTTTTTCCTTACAGTTTTATAAAATTCAATTATTTTCAACAAGTCGAATTACAAATTTCCGAAAATTCAAAGATAAAAACTAATTAAATTTAATTATTCTTAAATAACTAATTTTCTACAATTATTTTTTTAAATTTTGGACAAAAATCATATTCAAAATTTTAAATTAAAATTCTTAAGAAAAATTCATTAGTTTTTTAAAATGTCCAAAAATTCTTTTAACAATTTCAAGTATTTTTGATAAATTTTACAATTACAATGTTTTCTAAAAAGTACCTAATTCTTATAGGATTTTTTTCTCATAATTTTGTTTACAAAAATTTTTATAAAACATCTTCAAATAAAAATT